ACTAAATCTATTAGCTATGGAACAGGAGATTTGCGTTTTGGAGTTTATCAGTTTGCCAGATGATCACCAGTTTGGATAGACTCTCCCTCTGGGTCACTCAGCCTTGTAGAATGACAAATTTAAATGTAATCTGCAATTGTGATGAAAATGAAGATACTAAAAATACAGCAAAAAAGTTATCAAAGAGAAAGAACTTATAAAATCTAAACTAAATCAGTTTCGGCATTATATGTCCAATTGTTACAATTAATTCCAACTGGTACACGCACGCTGTCTACCCCCTCTCTATATGACTTTCAGAAAATCTTGGCACAGTTCAAAAAAAGAGCAGAAAGCGTTTGAAAAATCTTTGCATAAGAGAAGCAAGACATACTTCTCTTCCTCTTTAATGCAAAAGTTGTGCTAATACATACAGACACACAACCAATCTGACAAGTATACATGAATATTATGCAAGGTTATATGCAAACAACCAAATATTTACATGAGCAATGTACATATAGTTACGCTAAACTTCCTTCTGTTCCAAAATCAAATTAAAGTGTACCAGTCAAACAGAACTAAATTAAAATGCAGTGATGCAGCTGTAATTTAAAGAGATATTAGAACCTTAGGCGCTAGAACTCTCAGTGGTAAAATCAACAGCTAAAAAGGAAAGAAATGCTAATTCTGAGGGGAAAAGGCTATTCCTCACATCCTGTAGAGAAGCATGGCATTCCATTTCCATAAATATAAATACAAAAAAAAAACCCTACACAGCAGATGAACAATGTCTCACTACAAGTGGGAACACTTGAAAGTTCCTGCGTGCAAGCATATACAAATTTAAAGCACAAAAATGTCATCTACACGCACATATAGAAAACCAAAAAGAACTCATTTTTCCTACGCTGCACCAGACGGTGTTTCTTCTCTGGGTGAACAGGCCTTAAACAAGATCCAGGGATTACAGCTAGAATATAAACACACTAAACAAGGAACACAGGCTAGCGCTCGGCCAGTCTCATTACTAATGTTGGCCTGAATGAGTCTATCAGAGAGTCTTTCTAGGAAGTGGGCCAAAATCACACACATACTGAGGGATGTTTTTCTTTTTTTCTGTAAACCACAATTCCTGCAAAGTGTTTTGTAAAAGCTCTGAATGTGAAAAGGCCATTGCGTTTTCTGCATCACTCATGAGGGGGCTAATGCTGTGCTGCGTCCCCATGACCTCTACACTTACTGTCACTCTGACTTAAGAACCCTCTGACACTTTTCTCCCTCTGGCTAACATTGACTCATAGTTTCATAATCTGTCCACCCATCCATCCACTCAGAGTCCATGCCATGGAGCAAGGACCCTTCTGAAATACTTTGGAAGAGGCTTTTTTTTTCATTAATTAGCAAAGTTTCCCCCTTTAGCAACAGTCCCAACCCCCATCAACACATCACTCCTAAGTATTCATCCGCGTGCCTGCCTCATCAGATTTTGAAGATGCAGGCAGACTGGAAGGCTGAAGACGTGGGAAGGTGATGTGGAAGGCAGTGGGTGGGTGGATGTGGCAGAAATGGGGGTTGCTGAGTGTTCTTGATGATGGCAGATGCTACAGTTAATTTGGACATAGAGGACAGTCGGACCTTGACCAGGGTTATTTCATCAATAGGAAACCCTTATAAATGAACCTCACAGCATTTCATCATTAAAAGGCTTTCTGCTGAGGGCTTTTCTTTTCTCTCTGTAGTCATATATAGTGCCTTTTAAGAAAATTCATACCCCTTCCTTGAGCTTTTCTAGATGTTGTGAAATTGCACTTGGAAACTTTAATATGAAGAGCCCTTCTGAAGTGAAAAAAAATGGGGATTTAAAAAAGGGCAGGGATTTAATGGGCATGCAGGTGGCGCACCAGTTAGCACGCCTGACCCATGTATAGAGGCCTTAGTCCTCGACGTGGCAGACCTGGGTTCGAATCAGACCTGTGGTCCTTTCCTGCATGTCTCTCCCCCTCTCTCTCATACCCCTTTTCCTGTCAGCCTTCTGTCTAAAGAACGAGCCACTAGTGCCGCAAAAAAAAAAAGAAAAAGGGCAGGGATTTCAAAAAAAAAAAAAATTAACTTTTTACAATAAAATTATCTAGATCATGTGAGGCAGATATGTCATTACGTGACCCAGAGTTATTAATCAACAGAGTCAGCTTGTTCCTAATATGTGCCAAGTTTCTATACGCTGGCACATCTAATGAATGCTAGCTGAAACTACCAAAACCGCTAAACCAACATAAGTCACAATCTAAATATCATATCATGATGCTGCCATAAACATGTTTCACCATCCAAGTGGGCTGTTTAGGCTGATGTGCAGTATTACTTTCACATGTAGATAGCAAATCTCAAAATTTCCCTGACGTGATCCGAGCACCTTCCTTATCTATCCTGTGTGGTTTGTGATAAACTGCAAATAGGATTTATGGATTCCTTTCAACAGCTTTCTCATAAAAATTATACAATAAAATATATTTAATAAAAACCAACGTTAGTTAGGTACACAATGAATAGTTTCCTATCATGGTCTTTACTGCTTCTCTGAGTAATACTTTCTTTGCCTAAACTATCAGTTTTACTAGACAGACACAAAGATAGAAGACACAAAGAAAGAAAGGAATAAAGTAAAGAAGAAAATATAGAGAAAAAGACAAAAGGAAGATAACAGGAAGACAAGAATGATATAGGGATGGAGGGAGAAAAGGCATTAATTGAGGCTGTGAGAAAAAAGAAGGAAGATCACTACCTTTTGGAGATAAAATTGTGAAAGAAAATGTCTGCATATAAAAAATGTTTCCATATTTATCCAGACCGGAGAAATACTGAAATTAAACCCTATTCTTTGCTGACTGTGTGGGAACTTAAAAAACACACATGATTAATCAATTTACTAATTAGCTGACCTCTGAATGCAATGGATTGGAAATAATCTTTAAGAAGTTTTAGAGTCCTTAGCCCAGTCATAAATGCATTTTGTCTGTTTTATACTATATTTGTAAAGAAATAAAATAAAAACAAAAAACATCTCATTCTCCATCTACTAAATTTGTAAAACTTAACAGATTATGGAGTCTTTTAAGCCTCTGCATAGACGAAAACTTTGGGGCAAAGTTTCTACCCTTAACGACGCTGAGGAGAGCTTACCAGAGCACCACCAGTGGCACATTCTCAAACCCACTCAGACACTCATAAGCACAAAGCTTTTCATGCACACTTACCAGAAGATTGACACACATGCTACAGTGTGAAAGCATTTTAATTCTTATCACACCAAATCCCAGTGTCACCTTCTGGCACCTAAAAGTAATTAAAATTTACAAGTGGAAGGGTAACCAAGGGAAAATCCACTTCACATAATTGATGTGGTTGCACACGAGAAATTTAATGCTTGTCCCAAAACCCCAGACACACACGGATATCTGCATTAATTTGAAATGGATTGTACACTAATATCCCACATCATCCTCCATCTCTAACATGCTCCTCACACACTATTCCAACACACCATCAAATCCCTCCACCCACAAAGATGGTGGAAATGAGAAGAATGCAGATTTGGAACACTGCAAATCACACAGATTCTATAGCTTTAACTTAAAGGGATAGTTCGGTATTTTTGACATGAATCTGTATGGCATCCCCATCACCAGTGGCATGCAATCACACTGACTTACCCCTGGCAGCGTCCTGTGAGCAGAGTTATCGTCCAGTTTTGGTCAAGCCGAAAGTAGTCCGGCAGGTTTTTAGGAACAGCGAAATAAAACTTTTCTCTTCCCAAAACATTATGTGTTCAAAAGAGTGATATTTTTGCATCCCAAAAACATTGTAGTGGAAAAAGTCACACGTCGTTATCAATTGGTCCTATTTTCTCTCTGTTCGTATCAGTGCGCGCCGTCATTCAGACAGCGAGCTCAACAACAGCCAGATGCATGTCTCCCTCCGCCCAGCTAGGAGCTAGGCGCTAGGAGCTAGACCAGCTAGGAGCTAGGCGGAGGGAGACATGCATCTGGCTGTTGTTGAGCTCGCTGTCTGAATGACGGCGCGCACTGATACGAACAGAGAGAAAATAGGACCAATTGATAACGACGTGTGACTTTTTCCACTACAATGTTTTTGGGATGCAAAAATATCACTCTTTTGAACACATAATGTTTTGGGAAGAGAAAAGTTTTATTTCGCTGTTCCTAAAAACCTGCCGGACTACTTTCGGCTTGACCAAAACTGGACGATAACTCTGCTCACAGGACGCTGCCAGGGGTAAGTCAGTGTGATTGCATGCCACTGGTGATGGGGATGCCATACAGATTCATGTCAAAAATACCGAACTATCCCTTTAAGCTGTAGCCTCACAGTGGATGACGAGAACCCTTTTCCTCTCTTTTCATTTCAATTAGAGAAACAGCTGGGGGTGCACACAGCTGAGCAAAATCCAGAAGAGAAAAGAGGCCAAGACAAAAGAGGTAGAATGAGAATTTCTCTCTTTTGAACTCACCTCCCTGCACCTGACATTAAAACCATTTGTCTGTACTGAATTCTGAAAAATTCTCCTCTCCTCTTTTTCTTTTTTACAGTACTATATCCGTTATACTCTGCAAAACAGATTGCTTAGCACTTAAATTTTAAATGACACCTTTTTTTTGTTGTGCTTTAAAAAAAAAAAAAAAAAAAGAAGTATCACCAATTCACTTTTTCTTCCATGCTTCCACACTTTTCTAGTAATATTAGCCCTCTAGGCTTCCTCTAGAACATAATTAGAAATTTTCATTAGTAACATCATTGATCTTCAAGCTATCCATAATCAGTTTCCAATTAAAGGCACGGAAAGAGGAAAACTAATCTGAGATAAACCAAATTAATTAGATGAAATGTTTAGCGAGTGGCATACAACATTTAGATGAACCCCACTTCTCGTTATAACCATGACAACAATGCTGAAAAATAGACCTTTGTGTAATAAGAAGCTGTGCCTGTGTATATCCTACCTTCTCGCCGTGTCCCATGTTTTCATTCTTAACATCGCTCAGCGTTTTCCAGTTCATCTTTGGTCCAATGCTGACTGACATGGTTTCTGTTAATGACTGGCTGTCGACTGCATAACCTTCCTTGTCATACCTACAGAGTGAGCAAAAAAAAAAGATAAATCAAACGTCATATTGAGAGATAAATATGTAAAATAATCACGTAAAGAAAATCAAACACCTAGAATTGTCTTTAGAAGTTTAAATCTGCTCAACATCAACATCCTAAGAGCTTATTTAAACTTATCTTACAAAGAGTACAATAATGCTGTATAATCCCTAAATAGTTTTCATTTCTTTTTTTCATAGTCTCTTACAATTACACTCTGCCTATATATGCCATTTATAGTCCACACATATATAGTCTGTGCACATGTAAATAATTATCTATATCCTGTATAGCACTTCTGGATAGATGTAAACTACATTTCGTTGCTTTGTACTTGTGACAGTGTAATGACAATGAAGTTGAATTCTATTCTATTCTACTGATTGATGCAAAAGCTAGAATTTGTTGTAGAATTTCTCTACATACGGTTATAATTACAGACAGATTAAAAAATAATCATACAATTTTCCACATTTCCAATGAAATCTTTTATAAGCTGGGGCTAATGGCTCTATGGCTTCTTAACTTGGAAAGAAAATCCATTAAGGGATCAAGTGTCACAGTTTTCTTTTACTATTATACTGTATCAGGTTCCAATAATATTAATTCCTTCTATTTTATGTATTTTTTTATTGTTATTTTTTTTTGTGTGTGTGTGTGTGTGTGGCAGGGATTTTGGACTGCTTTTCAAAAATTTTGGAAAAGACTAGATCAAATAAAGTCTTAGCTGATCTTTTGGTGCTTGGTAAGGTTATAATACTTCGTGTGAAAAAGAAAACCTGCAGCTGTATACATATGCAACACCACTTTCTGGAGAAAAGTCTAAATTTATCCTCTTAACATCTACTTCATTTTGGGAAAATCTAGCCTATTTTGCATACCCAAATTGAAAAGCAAATAACTTAGGAACTGTAAGCCCATGTTACATGTGTGATACATTATTTGAAAGCTAACACCTTGTAGTTTATGAATAAATATGAAATATAAATAATGAAAGTTGGATGAGTAGAACACAGCCCAGGCTACATCAGTTCAAACATGACTCAAAGTCATTTTTTTTATCCTTGAAAATAATAGGTCTCTTTTGAACAGCAGTAATAAGACATGGTTGCTTGTTGTGACTGCTTTGTCATGTTTGCATTTTGACATGCTACTATATTTGTGTTAATTGTGCTTTAGTGCTCGCTGTGTCCATAAAATTAACTTGGTGGTTGATTTGTGGACAATCTAAGCTTTCCAACGACATGTCTATATTGGTAAACATTTTACCAGTGTAATTTTCATGCAAGTTTTATTTAAACGCTTTAAAACTTGTCGCCGGTGACCCGGTGGGTTCTGAGAGGTTAAAGACAAGACAAATTTGAGGAGTTTTACCACAAGCAAGAATGTGGATTTGAGAAATCAGACAATGCTATGAAAACCTCCGAGAACTGCAAAAACTGTCAACCACGGCGGGTGTATTACAGATAAAAGATGAAGGGAGTAATGAAAATAGACTTCACCACAACTCTCCAACTAGGTGGTGTAAACATGAACACACTGGTTATGTAACAGAAGAATGGTCCAAAACTGAGGCTAGTAGGGATACAGCAGGAAAAAGTTACGTTTGTGGAAGAGAGTTCCCAGAGTCACAACTTCAGTGAAGCACTATGAAGCGTGTCAATACTGCCAGGATCTATTCAAAAAATCAGCCATAAGAATGTTCATGGTTATAAAACTCATTAGGTCAAATTACAACCCACATTTACAGTATATTAGTGGAGATTTATGTACAAACTTGAGCTTCTGTATAAATATTACTCCACCCCCTTGTGGTTTAAAGGGATACAATTATAACTAAACCGATCAAATTAATACAAACTTGAGTTAAATCTTTGCAGATCCTTTTTCTTCATCGTTTTGTCCAGAAAAACAAAAAACAATTGTTTAAGTAAACGAATAACTGGTTCAACTTAATATGTAATGATTGTAGTGATATCTGCATGTAAAACTCTGACTGGAAGTGTAGATACTGCAAGTCTCATGTGTTTTAATTATTCATCAACTCAGTCTCCTAGGTCCTATTTATTAAATTACACAGGACAAAAACAAACATCAATTGCTTGTGAATATTCAATGTGATAAAGTTGCTACAAGTGCTTTCTTAAGAGAATTTCAGCATTATTTGTAAGAAGAAAGATTTGTTTAATAAGTTAACTGTTTGTGTCAGTATCAATTGAACCTATCTGAAAACTCCCCTATTCCCATATCTTATTTGCCGTCGCATAATTACCTTAATTTGATCTGACATGGATGTCTAACATCCATAGATGTTTCCCCAGATGAATCAGCTTTCATATCTCTTTTATACATAATAACCCTTTGTGAAAACCCCGTTCATTATTCTGCGTACGCCCTATATCTGTTCATCTCTCTTCCCTTTTATTATTCAATCCAAAACCTTCATCCATCAGTGAGATTGTTCTTCTATGTTCTGGCTGAGCGGCCTTATCAAAGCACAATACAGATTCATCAGTGTACTTCGTTTATACAAACAAGTTTAGCAGAAAAAATAAATATAGCTTTGCATAGAAACATGAAAATTAAGCCTCTCTTTGTAAAGCATACAGCTGAATGTTAAAAAGAGGCGGTAAACATAAGGGAGAAAGTAAGGCATCAGAGAAATATGGAGGTAGTGGAAAAAGCAAAATGGACCTTTGAGCATCAGGATTCATTTAATCAAAAGACTGGATAAATAAAGCCTAAATCAGCAATAGTTATTATTCACTTGTTTTAGGGAATCATAACATTTAAAGGACAAAAGCATCACAGATTTTGCCCAGCGACAGCCCTGAAACGTCATTGCTCTAGAGAAGATCTACATGGAGGAATGGGCCAAAATACCAGCTACGCTGTGTGCAAACGTTGTGAAGACTTACAGGAAATGTTTGACCTCTGTCATGGCCAACAATGGTTATGTTACAAAATTTTCTCATAGCTGAAGTGCACCTATGGTGAAATATACAGACCTCGCTCATTATTCAAAGTAGGAGAACTTGCACAATCAGTGGCTGACTAAATACTTTTTTTGCCCCAGTGTATGTATGTACATATAAATATATATATAGCTATATATACACACACACAAAAAGAAAAGGAAAACAGAAAATGTATTTATATTTTTTCCTGTAGCCAGAATTGGGAACAATCTTAATGAGCGAATGAGTCACAACTCAAAACCCCTCCACAGGAGCTGCTAATAGGAATCCAGTTTGATCCTGCTTAGCTGGCTTTGGAGCAAAGGCAGCAGCAGTTCAGAGCTAGAATCCAGGAATAAATACATGCTTCTCTTTTTCCATCAGTCCAGTGTTGTCTGGAATCCCACTGAGACTCTGGCAGCACAAACCAACATTCTCTCGACACTCAATAAACAGGGTTTTTGCACCTATGTTTCCCTATAAGTGTGTGAATGAAACACAGGTGTATGGTTGGAGGTAATACCATATTTTATAAAGGCTGACAAGGACATCCTGAAAAAGGTGTTGATGCCCCTTCAATTCTTTCATATTTTGTTAACAAACATGAAATACATTTTTGTGTTATAGGCCAAGATGAAGCAGGGCATCATTTTCAAAATGGAAGAAAAGTTATACTACATTTTTATAATTATACTGTAGAAACTCAACTACTAGTTGTGCCTCCACAAATCTGGCTTTGATGGAAAAACAGAAAGAGAAATTTATCACATTCATACAGTAACAGCCATTAAAAATGGCCCTTCCCAGTCAAACGGCAGCCAAATGGCAGCCCAATTCCCTGCAGCTCCAAGCCAAATCCCCTCCAACTTCTAGCCACTGGCCTTCTCCTGGGTGTGCATATTTTTTTACTCTGACTTCATCCTATTACTGAATTACAGGGTCTGACCAAGAGATGGTACTTCTCTTTGGATCTTATTGTCAACAAATCATGACAGAAAGAATATTTTTAGTACAAAAATTGATTTTTAAAAAGGAATTGTAGGGGACAAGCCAAGGACACATCAAGGAAAGTTTGCGTTATGTCCTGCAGGAGACACACTAAAAATGTGAAAGAAAACACTCTGACTAGATGAGACAAAAATGGAAACCTTTAGTATGAATGTAAAATGCTAATTAGAACACTCTAAACACCATCCACATCTGGTAGTGGTAGTATAATGCCATAAGGTTTGTTTTCTTTGACAGAGAGGGGCAAGGTGGGTTCAGTTTAGGGGTGGGTATTGGCAAAGAAGTCATGATTCGATTCGAATCACGATTCACATGCCACGAAGCGATTCTATCACGATGCATCACGATACTCGAAATATTGCGATGCATCGCAATGCATTGCGATATTTTCTCTGAACACTGTAAGAAAAGGATACAGCCATTACCAGTGGCTGACTGGCTGGGTGTGATCTGGATAGTGTCTTCAATTGATACATAACTGAAAGCAACTGAATTCATGCCATGAAAACAAATACTGGACAGAAATATTACTATTACTGGTGTGGAAACACTGACAAAAAGATCTTAGGATTCATCAAACTTAAAATAACAAAATAAGGATAATCAGTGCCGTTTACATGGCCTCAGTGGTCCTTTAAACCAATAAAATGAAAACATTCAAATGTCTATTTCCCCTTTTGCAAAACGTGCATCATATCAATTTCGTTTTTACCTTCCTTGTTTTTAAAGCCAGAATGCATCCAAGCATCTGACTTGAAATGTGATGGAGCCGCGGAGCGAATTTTCTCAGTCTCCTCCATATTTTGTTTACGAATGACTAGTCTCAGTATCCCACGGCCGGACATGCTTGTGACACAAAGCAGAGGGCGTCAACACATCCGCAGCGACATCTGCTGGACTGGAAGTTGTATTCCACTTGGTTTGGCTGATGTGCGCCAACCATTCATGTATTTTATTTGTTCATTTTTTTTTTTTTATAATCGATTCTTGCCTTCAAGAATCGATGCAGTAGATCACAAAAATTAGAATCACGATGCATCGATTTGACGATTATTTTGCACACCCTTAGTTCAGTTGATGGGAAGATGGAAGTTAACCAAAGGGCAATTATCAAAGAAAGTCAGAGGCAACAAAAGACTTTAGGCAGGGTGAGAGAGGGTCAATTCTAAGGCTGCAATGATCGTAAATATGAACGGCACATTTAAAGTCCAGAAACTCAATTAAGAATTTATAGAAATACTTGGCATAGAAAAACACGGCACAGATTAAGGTGATTTCACAAAATAGAGAGCAAAGATGTTAATGTTAGACAGATACTTCACAATACTTAAAACTTTGAATGTAGTGAAATTTTATTTTACAAAGTAATAACTCAAGGGGGATGCATTCAAATGCCGAACAAACAGCTTAAATTTGCTAACAAAAAAAAAACAGATCTCAAGTTCTATTATGTGTTGGTCAGTTACATAAATCTAACTAAAACATGTTTATGTTGCTGTAACATGATAAAACGTGGGAGTTCAAGGATTATGAATAGGTTAGCAGAAGGATATTTCTTTCTTGTTAGACACATATCAACTTGTGCAGAGTATGTGACAGAGTATTAGGAAGGCTGCAATTTGTGGACAGTTCTCTGTGTGATTATCAGTGTGTGTGTGTGTGTGTGAGATTGCAGTGTACATCACTGTGACTCACCAGACCCTAAGTCTGAAGGCTTCGGGTAAATCTGGGTTGACCATGACTGTTGAACTGAACAAAGCTGAGAGAGATCTGCCTCCAAAATCAGACAAGCGAGCTCCTTTGATGGCAACAACAGGCTGTCCTGAGCCGTCAAACTTCTCCGCCTGGAGAAGAAACAGAAAGAGACGTCAAAAACTGATAGGGGAGAGAGAATTTGCGGCAGTAAAAGAGCAAGGTCTCAAATGTTAATCTGTGTCTGAAACTTTTAGCCACTGAAATGTACTGTAATATCAGCAAAAGTTTACTTTAATAATTAGGCTAACTACAAGTTCATTTTGAAGTAACTTCCAGATTTTGGTAAGGAGGACGGATTAACTCATGCTGACCAAATGAGATGGGAGAAGAATGGTGCCATATTAGCCTCATGTCTCAAAACAGAGTGTCTGGTCCAACACAGCGCTGAAGGTCACAAGAGTGATTTAAACGATCCAACAGCCCAGAAAAGCAAATCAAAGTGCTCTGTATGCAAGACCACCCACACAGACGCCATCACAGATGCATAAACGCATGGGCTCCTTCAAAAACCCAGTTAATTACAGTAGGCTCAATGTGTTTTTATGATGCATCATAAATCCAGTCATGGATGCATGCAGAGAAGCAGGGAAGGAGATTAAAGCTCTTACCTCCTCCCCCCACAGAGTGACTGTCACCACTTTACCGGTGGTGTCTATTAGGTTGATGGCCCTCTTGGAGACTTCTCTGCTGTTCTTTGTGGTGATACGGGATACATCCTCTGCACTCTTGCACACTCCAATTATATCTATAGGCAGAGAAAGGAACATTTCAAATATCCATCAACAAGTAATGCATGAACACAGAAACAACCACTGCGCTGGCGATTTTATAAACACCTGATCAGCATCAGTGTCATGTGTTTTGAGCTTTTAACAAATTAAACAGGACTTCCTTTAGCTTGGAATTGGTATATTTTTGCTTCACTGAACATTTGGTGCACATTGCATTTTTTGTTAATTACCTCAAATGACATAGAAACAGTACCCACATAAATACCACTGGACAACAACACTTTTAAAGCCATTAAAAAGGTACGAGCAATAACCCTGCCTGGTTGTTTAAGTACTCTTATAAGAAATTAGTAGAAATCTCATATAAATAGTTTGGTTATCTGCATAATATTATTTTTTAAACTGTTTTTAAACTTCAAAATGTACTTTGAAAACTTGAAATTACACTAAGACTCAAATTGATAATAAAGCTGAAAAAGAAGACCAGTGTTGGAGTCCAACGTGAAACCAATTAAACATCACTATTGACTGAGAGGGTACTAAACAAAAGAGAAATGTCTGTTCCCAATTTCTAACAATTTCATAATCTTTTCTTGAGGTGTTTTCTTGTCAGTCCAAGTAAGGTTTGAACTACTCAGCAGAAGTTTGAAGAAATCAATCTAAGTTGCTTGAAATCTCATATGGTGCCAGTTGCATAGTTGGAGCAGCGTCATGCTGAGGTGTCTGGTTTGCTATCGTTCCCATTACAAATGTGCACAAATCTATGCCAATATTCTGCCAAATAAAGTAGGTAGGGGAATGTGGCCTCGTGGTTAGGGCATTGTGCTTGGATCCCAGAGGTTCCAAGTTGAACCTGGAACCTCTCAACCCCCACTCCCACGTACTGCAACTCTGGGTCCCTGAGCAAGACCCTTAACCCTCACTTTGCTCCTGGGCGACGCACAATGAAAGCCCACTGCTCCCCAAAGGTCGGGTTAAATGCAGAGGGCTAATTTTTTTGCTTTGTACTTGCGACAATGTAACAACAACAAAGTTGAATTCTATTCTATTCTAAAGAAAAGTCTAACATTTTGCAATTGTGGTATTTCCATTAAATGACAGATACTATTAAATTGTATTTGAAGACATTTGTTCACGTGGTAACTGTGACAATAACATGGTAGCAGTGGAAGTAAACACATGAAATGTATCCATGTTTCAGGTTCAAGTGGGCGCCATCATCCTCCTCTTCCTCTTTTTACGAGGCAGCTGCAGAGCAAGTACTCATATGAAAAAGAAAAAAAGTGTTTCCATTTCAGTTGTGCGATATGTAGAGATTTGGACACAACTGAAAAAAAAACCTCATTGAAGAGGAAAAATTTTCATAAAAGAACTGTTTTTTTTAGCTAATTTATCGTTGTAATTACAATTTGCATAATTTGAAGGTTATTGTTTAATATTAATGTTATTTTTTATATAGGACAATAATTCAAATCAAATCAAAACATATTGAACAGTTTGGTTTAAATGTCTTGTTAAAAACCTAAAAGTAATGTTGTGTGTAACCTTCTGACCGTCACAATGTGTTTTTAAAAGAGGGGGAAATTTAAGGAAAGCTTTTAAACATTCTGCTTGGTGTAAATTGCTGGACACACTAGACAACAACACTGGACACTGATATAACATTAGTGTTCATGTGTTCCTCATATGCTCATTACATTTCGATTACCAAGTATGACTAAGAGTCATTTAATGGAATCCTGATGTCTACTGTCCTAGCTATTTCAAAGAGAGTAAAGAATCATTTAACTAAAGGTTACTGGTTCCTGATTAAGCAAATAATTTAATAAAACATTATTTGGCCAAATAATGTTTTATTGCCCTCCTGGATGTGCACTGTGAATTGGTCTGAAAACATTCCAATTTCTCCAAATTAGTGTAAAGCTTTATATTCCAGATAAACTTTGGTTTTCATCTTAAACTGTAATATGGTTTTTCAACTATGTTTCCCCTTCCTCTTTGTACATAGTAGTTTAGTTGAGTTTCACTGGTTTTAGTTAAGAGTTTTAAAGTGAAATATGTTTGACTTGGAGCTGAATGATTTTTGTTAATAAACTCGTATATTTTGAACAGAAGTTGTAGTGAATTTATTCCATGTATGTGCAGCATTATTTGTTTGACAATGATTTGAGCGCGAATAACTCTTTCATTTATTGTTCTAACACACAGCTAGTAGGGTGTGTGTTTATAAACAACATATAACAGCCCAAATAATATCTGACTAAATAAGATATTTACCACCCCTACCAGGGAGGGCAGTAAACATCTTAAAGTATCAGAAATATAATATAATATAATATAAAATCACAACTGGAGTAAAGATCAAGGAAAGGGAATGTGTAATCCCTCTGATACAGTCCAATTTGAATTATGCTGACATTTAAGTCTAACAGGCTGGCTTTTGCTCCTTCTTCTAAATCACAACAAAAGCACTCATTTCTTATTAATGTTCTCCATCATGTTCAAGGCTTTAACACTTCTTTTAGGATTGCACTACAGAAAATGAGAGACAGCTGAGCTCCAAGACTGCAGAGGACCTTATTTTACAATTCAAAGAGCTTAATTCAAAATAACCGGTGGATCTCATCATAAATCAAATAGGAATGTCACAAGGTTCCCAAAAAACAAAAGAGGACAGATGTTAATGTACAGTTACTAGACAAGTAAGCTTCTCTCGGAATTTTTCACTTAATTCAATTGTCTTATATAAGTACCTACTCATATTTTATTCATTTGAAACGAGAACTATCACTTTTTTATAAACCATTAGCAACAGGGTTTAAAGTTTCCTCCTAAAAACATTGTTAAATTAAATTCATTCCTTAACCTACAAATAATAAAACGATAAACCTGTTCCCTAAATATTATCATAATTAGCATATATTAAATCACAATGCCTTTCCTTCTTCTTTTTACTTGCTCTGAAATGCTGAACCTCTCCAAGCGGTACTACTGCTAGTATTTAATCAATGTAACTGCAGGAGGGCTTGGATTTCAATAGTCCATTTTTATTGCTTATTCTGCCTCCTTTTCTATGCATATGATAAAAACAAAAACAAAACTAAGAAATAAAACCCTTTTGAACAAAGGGCGGTAAGAATCTCTACATGTTTTACAGGGTTTTGGTAGTTAATGTTCCTTCAGGGCAGGTGGCCATATGTAAAATAAAAGGAAAATATCCCAAAACCAGTTTTTCAAATCACTCATTCTTCATTTTGCACTTTCTGTTAACCTTTTTCTAAATTCTTTCCCACTCCTTTTCCCTCTTATTTGCTCTCTGTCAGTGTTCTCTCAGCCTTGCTTAATTCCATTATGATTGAGACGATGTCATCCACCTATGAACTCCATTATCACAACAGGAACAGGCTGACAGTTCTCATTACTATGTTATAATCCCCTATTTAACAAAGCCATAGAGTGGGGAGGGTAGACGAGGAAGAATGGAGAGACGACAGCTTAAGACGTGTAACACTGGTCCTTCATACCGAACGCAAACATACTCCTTTAGCTAAACTCCTCAGGGGATCAAATGATGCTATTGCCTAAATTACTCTGAGTTGACACTTATGGGAGAGTCTCATAATTCTACTAAGTGAATCATGAAACCTGTTTGTAATTTAAATAAAATAAATCAATAGATCAAATGTTACTATAATTTAGGTTTTGAAACTGTTCTAAAAAGGTGATGAGGACAATCATATGGGAAGCAAAGGTATATACTTACCACTTTGTTAGGGATTGCTATTAATATAAATACAATTTACAAAGAAATAAGTGTCAATCCATATTGAATAAAACACTGATTTTCCATCGTATGCATCTTTGAGGGATTAAGTTCCAAACTAAACAGCACAGAGTTGTAAATATGGCTGTTTTCTGGGCTTCATTGCAGCATAGTAGGGCTGGGTGGTATGACTTAAATTCAAATCATGGTATGAATCAAATCTTTCTACAGTAACAGTATCTAGCGTGTTGAAGCATCCTCTGCATTGCGTCACATGGTTGCTGGCCAGAAGTCAGTTCATTTCTGATAATGAAGACCTTGAAGGACATTATCCTGCTTAAACCATGGTCACTTACAAAATAAATGAATATTAAGTCCCTTATTAATACCTAAATATTTCTTTTTTCACAAAAATTGGGTGAGTAAACTATTTATTATATTGTAATTGTGACACATTGCTATGGTAACTGGCTCTGGCCACAGAACCTGCAGCCCTAATTAGCAGAAGGAAGTGAGATCATTGGTTAAGGTGATGCCTTATGTTAGGTGATACAAAGTTTCATTTCAGAGGGCAAGTGCACCACCAGCTTTTGAGCCAGCTCATTAATGTAAGCAATCAGGCATTTGACTTGAACCTTAAAAAAAAAAGAGAAAAAAACGTAAACAGAGCAAGGCTAAATAGAATTCTCTAAGGGAGCGTCCTTTTCCTTTCGTACACCATCTTTGTAAAGCGATCTCCCACTGGACATTCAGCAGGCTTATTCTGTTCTCAAAGCCAGCTAAACACCCACATATTCATTTTATCTAACTCAATGCTTACACTTGTTGTAATATTGCAGTTTCCTTTAGTTTTTATGTTTTTGTCTGTTTCTAAATTGTATTATTTTATTTATTTATTTTTATCACCTACTGTTGAGCACTTTTTTAAAGGGCTTCAAAAATAAATGTATTATTATTTATATTATCATTGGAGTATTATAACAGAGAGTAAATCAGAATCAAGTATTCACTCAGACAATGATATAAATCACAGTTTCTTTCTATTTCAATGAAATGAAACTATGTCAGAGTGACATAAGATAGATTTCTGTCTAAACATCTCTGATCATTTGTTTTATATAATCTATTTTTTTATTCAATAACCTAATCGGTTCCAATTTTGTTATTTGTTATAAATATTTCTAAGTTCAATATTGTGTGAGAAAAAAATGTTTTGTTTATCCAGTATTTAATATAGCTAGTTCAATAAACTGTTAAAATACACCTTGGTAGAACCGGGTTGGATCCCTTTTTGCCTTTAGAACTGCCTTAATCGTTATTTCAGTGAGGTAATGCAAACATTCTGCCTGCTGCAGATCTGTCCGATGCACATCCATGAAGTCAATCTCCCATTCCACTACATCCCAAAGCGGTTCTATTAAACTAAGATCTGGTGACTGTGGAGACCAGTTGAGTCTCCACAGTCACTCACTCATTGTCATGATCAAGAAACCAGTCTGAGATGATTCACGCTTCATGACATGGTGAGCCATCTTGCTGGAAGTAGCCATAAGAGGATGGGTACACTGTGGTCATAAATGGATGGACATGGTCAGCAACAATACTCAGGCTGTGGGATTAAGACAATCCTCAATTGGTCCTAAGGGGCCCTAAGTGTCCCAAGAAAATATGTTATTTAAACCAAACCGATCGTCTTGACCATGACTCTGAGTCTACATGCATAGTTTCTGCCATGTGATTGGCTGATTAAAAATGTGCATTAATGAGCAGTTGAACAGTTGTACAGAATGAAGTGACTGGCGAGTGTATAATGATGTCCTTTTTTTTTTTAAAAGCACCATGTCATTAAAAACAGTCCATGTTATGGAAAGACCATCTTGATAAAGGAGAAAACTCAAGCTTTTTGAGGGTGACAGCTACAAATGTTTACATTTTGTTACATTATATATATTTTTTTAAATATTACATCCATAGACAACTAGAGTGGTGCATGGAGTTTTATATAAATATATATTTTAAAGGTCTGAAATATATAAATATCTGGTTATGATGTAAATGTTTACATGAGTTCTGAACCAAATGGAATATTAGGTGAAAGTCACATGAGACATTGTCAGGTGCTGCCAGATTCCAGTAGCTCACTGTTAAGAGGTAAGAAATTTTTTCTTGGAGTTATTTTTTCCCAGATTGCAGTCAGACCCCCACCCCACCCAAAAAATTCTAATGCGGACAAATGAGGGTAAACATGAGCTGACCTTTATAACGTTGATGCCAACGAAGCAAAGAGGCCATGAAGCCACACGGAGATTTCTGCTTCATCTGAGCATGTAAGTTTAATGTTTAATAATGCTAACATAGCATTATTAAGTGACAAATGAGCATAATTTCGCTAGTTTTACAGCAAATGTCTTACTTATTGCTTCTGTATCTCATTAATCGATAACTTGCATTCCTAATGGCTGTAAATAAATATAAATAATGCAGAGTCTTCCTTTTTCAGACGTATCAGGAGTTGTTTAAATGCAGACAAAATCAACATTCTGTTTATTAAATTATCATTAGGGAGAATTCTTCTGGTTGGAAAAAAAAAAGGTTTTAGGTGGACTGTGGTTGGCACCATCCACCATAATAATGCCTGAAAAAACATAATGGCTAAAAAAGACACAATAAAGACTTGTTGCTATTTTAACTCTGAAATGCAGGACCTAATTTTATAACACCAAATCAACTTTGTATCTTTAGGATTTAAATAAAAGATTAAAGAGGTTTGTACTTTTTACAGGCTCATGTTTAGGCAGGATTCATTTAGGTTTTCACTTACCAATAATGGCATCTTTGTCTCTGTTTTCCAAGTCTCCAATAGGCACAAAGTCACACTGCATTGATGGGATATCGTGGGTGTCCTCACAAGGCACAATAGATGAATGAGCATGAAGGGTCATCTCATAGTCGTTCTTCAGAGTGGTGTACTGTTTGTTGGCTATCTTTAGAGTAGCCTTTGAGATGTAGTACACCTAAAGAGAGAGAAAAATCATTCACTCACATTATAAAATTAGACTTAATCAAATAAATAATGACAAAAAGGAGAAACTGACAGATCAAGCCCTCAAAGGAAATTTACTGAATGAAAGCAGCCTCTGTTCAAGCAAAACTTCCTATTTAGAATAAAAAAACCTCCAGGTCAAACTGAGGCTCAGTGTCCCTATCAGCCCAATCACTTCTTTAATTCACCAGAAAATAAGCAGCAGTTGAGAGCGACTCTGCTTAACAGCATAATTTAAACTCAATCTGCTAGGCACTCTTCTTCATTTACTCTCCCAAGGCTCCAACATCCCACCTCTCTCTCTGCCTCTGGGTTTGTTCCTCTCAATCCTTACTTTCTTCTACTCCCCCTGTCTGTCCTTACATTTTCAGTTAGCACATAAAGGCACAGCAGTAAGGAGCTTCTGTAAGCAGCATTCTGGCTGCTTCCAGCAACTTTGCCTTAAGCTTGGTCTATCAATGCTACAATCATATAAATATGGAGGGTGGAGGGTACATATTAGATCTAGATTTATCTTAGGAAATCTAGTTAGTCTAGGGACTAATTGATGTATTTAGTCATTTAATACCATACATTTAAATAGCATGCTCTTCATGGTAACAGGCTATTGCACGTCCCCATATGAGGACTGTACACTTGGCTGTTTTACCAGGAGCACTAGTGCTCCCAAATGACAAAAAAAAAATTTTAAATAAAAAATTTACCCGGGACATATTTCACTTTTTTTTTTAAATGGGGGTTTCAATATTCCTCTGAGATTACTCACTTACCTAAAAGTAATCATTTTGTCATTTTAGATTGTCCTATGATTTGGTGGTAACTGTCACAAAGTCACTGAACCAACATATAAGACTATGTGCATTTACAGGGACTTCTGTGACTGAGTTAAAAAAAAAATAGTAGTGCTTTCTTCCTGTCCATCAAAATGATGAACAAGGTCATAAAAATTCAGCGTTTATTGGGAGGAGAACTCTTGGTAGTAAATCCCCTAGTAGCAAGGGTGTCAGTGTGATCACAGACATCAGTTTGATAGTTTATGTTATTGAGGTCTGCACTGATGCTGACATTCTCTGAGGGGACTTGTATGTGATACATATTCCTATATATACAAAATGAAAAAAATTATGATTTTCTAGCTGCTTGTGTTAAAAGGCAAGTCTGTATTGTGTCCATAAAAAGAGAAGGAAAAATGTTAAACAAGGGATCTTGGGTTTGCATAATTTGGTTAAATAAGACTTTCCAATAAACAATATGTTTGTTTTGGGAAACAAAATATAAAAAGACCGATATAAAAAGACCAAAAGACCATTAATAACATGCTTATAATTTATTTGTACTTTAACATTTTGCAACAGTAGTTATATATTTTGTCGTTATGTAGTATATTGTTGTTTACTATGGTCTCAGCAAAGACTTAGACCAAACTTCCTTCTTCCCAGACTCCTCCAGCTCTGCTTTGGGGAGAAACCGAACAACAGGCCTGGCTCCAGAGTGATGTGTTCTTTTAAAACAAGGCTAACGACTTCCTTTTATTCATTCGCTTTTAACACTGGCAGGATTTAGTTGTTGTGACCTTATTTATTTAGTTAAAACAATCTATCAGTGCCTTATTCTATTTCTTTATGCTGTATCTTTTTTATTCTTTTCTGGGTTTTTTTTTAACACTTTAGCTGTTCTAAAGCAAATAAAGATGATGATGATGATGATGATGATGATGATGATGATGATGATGATGATGATGTTACATACCTCGCTTTTATAGTTCTCATAAGGGCTTTCTGAACAGCTCTCTGTCTGACCTGTCATAGCATTTGTTGGGTTTGGGTGACCCTACCAGGATCCCCAAGGGGATGGGTTTAATGCAGAGGTAAATTTCTCCAATGTGAGATCAATAAAGTTCAATTATTATTATTATTATTAAGCCCCAGATGTCATACCCTATGGGACCATCTGGACACTAAAACCACTCCACCACGTTAAGGTGGCAGTTCAAGGAGGAGTTCTTGTTGCCTACTTGTGCATATAACTTGGCAGTAGTAGGTCTTTCTTCCAACATGCTATTTCTTTCAGATATTTTATCAGTGATCTACTGGATCATATTCAGATGACATGACTGCCCACTTAAAAAGGTACATTACCATCTTATATTTATTCACATTCGTACATTTTGTAAATACTACATTTTGAGTTATCTATGAAAAAATAGAGAGAAAATAATCACCTCCATCATTTGACAAAGGAAAGTAAAGAGGGGCAAATATATTACTGTTGAAGCTCATTTACCTTTAATGATTAAATGAGCTTTTTGACAGCGTATCAGAACTGTAAAACATCTGAATCATGAAGGGAATCCAAATGGGCAGGTTTGTCTGTTCCTAAAACAGGTGTTAATAATTTAAATCACAGCAGTGCATCACCACAGATCTAAGCCAACCCTCTCATCTGCATTATTTGCCATCACAGAACTCACTATGATTTAAAAAGGTTTTGCACACCACCCCACTTCACAGACTGTCTTTAAATCCCTGCAGCCAGAAACACGACAGTGTTCAGTAAATGCATCCCTACAAACTGAAACAGCAAAGCTGGCAGCAATTCCTGGACACAATATCAAAATGTTCAACCTGAAGAAGTCAGCAAACTGTTTCTCAATATATTATCTGATAATATAAAGAATATTTTATTAACAGACTTTGATCAACTAAAAATGCAGGTTAAAAAATTAGCTAAAAACACAAACAGCTCCATGTGAAATATGATTTTCTAACAGTTCTTGCAAATCAGGAACCAGTGAGAAGCAGTACACTCTAAATGTAAATTTTTATATAACATTTGCAAAAGGGTCTTATCACTCAAAGGACTCATGGATGAACAGGATGTGCTCACCTTGCCTTGCTCCACTAGAGAGAAAAACTTGTCCACTTCGTTGTTGAAGGCTGTAATCTTGATTTCACCCTGTTGACCAGTCAGGCAGTTACATGAATAAAAAAAAGAAAGAAAAAAAAAAGAAAAAACACAACAATATGTGCCATAAGCAGCCAAATGTTGGGATGTCTCTACTTACACTCTCATCTACTATCTCAAAGGAGAAGAGCTTTCCCTCTCCTCTGGAATTACTCCAGTTACGGATATTGGATTTGTTTGTGACTCTGGCTCTGATGGTCCACCTAAGAACAAACCATACAAAGGCATCTATGATGGCAGATCACTATGTAGACCGTAGATGCTAACAGAGGGTACAATGTATGTGATTTTGTTTAAAGTACTTCCTAATTTCTTGTCAAAAAAAGGGCTGATTAAAACAAATTTTTCCACAGTTTAGGGGTGGCTTCCCATGTTTTAGATGACGCCTGGTATACTTGAACTCAATGAATGATTCAATATAAAGCCTCCAGAAAATTATTCAGAATTTCATTCAGCTGTTTAAGGACCAAAACGTGTTCAAACATGAAAGATTTCCTCTAGCATTTAGGTCTGAAGACTGAGACAGAAGGTTGATCTGGTGAACCATTTCCAAGTCTATTTGGGCATTTGTTTTAGATCATTGTCCTGCTAAAAGGTCCTGTGATGACGTGTCTGTTTTGCCTGCAGACAGGGGTACTTTTTTATTTATATGTTTGAGCATTTCATAGAGTTTTTGGTGACATCTACTTGAATAAGGTTTTCAGGGACTTTGGACGAAACATCACAAATCATCCCACAAATCACCCGCCATACTTGACAATTAGCGTTCTGGAACATTTTTTTTTTTTCGAACAACTTCATCTGTCACATGTGACCAAAGCTAAAAACTGGAGAAACTCTACACAATTTTATTCCTGGAGAACAAAACTGACAAAAAAAACTTGACTTTAGATGAGTGGCAGCAACTACAATAATTTTAGTATGAGTGGTAATGATTTTTAAGGGTACTGTAGTACCAATACCTGAATTCCCCTTCTAAGGCTGTTTATTTATTCAGTTCTATAATGCAGAAAGATTTTTTTTTTTATATCCACATATCAGTTATAGAATAGATAATAAAAGTCAAAATTTAGATGTAAGCGCTACAGAAAACACACTACTGCTGGATATCAAATAATTTAAAGAAACTGCTTTTCTGAGTTTTTAAACTTCTAAGAGGAGAAAATTAAAACATTGTTAGACTTTGAACAGCGTTTCATCAACAGCCTGCAATATTTTTATTTTCCATCACTGAGCTTTCAGTGAAACGGAAACAATTGTTCATCAACAAATGATTGATGAACTTATAAACAGCGGAATTGAAAACCCTAAGGAAAAAATGTAAAAGTGAAGGACAAGGTTTGGAAAATCCCCAATGGGCAAAAGAGCAGAATCAAAACCTAAGCAGCAGCTCATAAAGACCCAGCACTGCCTGCCTTAAAAAAATAAACTACATCAGTCACTCTATTTCATTTCCATGCAAATGGATTGAAATACAGGTACCTGCTGTCCACACTGCCACCCACACTTGTAAAAAAAAAAAAATAATAAGATTACACACGCATGCCTTGACACTTTTTTTCAAATATGCCCCACAGTGTTTCACAGATATGGCATCAAACATGAACCGGTCAGAAAGTCAGAGGAAATAGTTTAGTGGACGACTGTGCAATAGAGAAAATGCTCTAAGAATGAAACAATAATTAATACCATTTCTTAAGATGATGGTAAAAAGTACATATAAGTCAGGAGTTTTTCAACAAATTTTTTAGATTGCAAAAACAAGTCAGTGAAAAAAAGGGAGATACGGACAAATTAGACTTACTTGCTAATGTATGGATTGAGGTTAGAAATGGGGATCACTTTTGGGATAGCACTAGGTGAACTGGTAGTGGCCTTTATGGGAGAGACCTTCATGGGTGACCCTTTCATGGGGGATGTCTTCATGGGTGACCCTTTCATGGGGGAGGTCTTCATGGGTGACCCTTTCATAGGGGAGGTCTTCATGGGTGACTCTTCCATGGGACAAGTCTTCATAGGTGATGCAGTCATGGGGGCTTTTCCTGTAAATTTTTTCCCCCAGCCTTTGAGATAAAACACACACAAAAAAAAAACTGTCACTTTAAGACCAGCTTAGCTTTGATATGTAATAAAAAGGGTTAATACAACTTTCATTACCTATTTTACTACCTCTCCAATATTTTATCAACAAATACAAAATCAAGCATATGTCTTAACTAAGACCTCCTAACACATACAAAGCTTTTGGCTATGTAAGAGTCTGTGAGCCTGTTTTGGAACTCTGGGATTTGCCGACACTTTCCATGGTAACATTTACTGTTTTTATGCACGTGCTGGAAAAAGCCTCTAAATCATTCTCTACAACCTGCTTAACGAGTATTTGAATGCTAAGTCATCAAGCATGAATTCCAGTACCAATTTTGGTTCTACAAAATCCGACCAAACTGATCAAACCCTTGACACAGGGAAATCCAAGAGATTTCTTCATAGACCCACTAAAGCCTGGCTGGCATGGCAAGATTTTTAAGAATTGTCAGCAAATTTTCAAAAATAAAAGACTCAACATGTGACAATAAAGCAAAAAAAGGAGACAATACAGGATTTGTCAAACTGTGTGTGGTTTACAGCAACATTGCAAACACAACACACCACACACAAACAGATTTTATTCCAAAAAAAAAACTTCTCAGGATCAAACATGATTTCAAAGCACATAAACAGGGCCATCAAGGATGAATCAATGGAGATGATTTGTGAAAGGATTTATAATGAGGAAAAGTATTACAATAAGTGAAGCCAGGGGTTAAAAGACTAAAAGCAGCAAAAGTGTGGGATCTAGGAAGGGGAACATCAGGCCAAAAATAATTGCAATTATCTTACTGTGTGTGTGTGTGTGATGCTATTATCAGCGTAGGAAAATTATTATAAAAGTAATTTTTTCTGGTTAATACAGCTAATTGATTACTATCCTTAAAATTGCTGTGACTTTCTGGCTCCTCTTTGCTTTTGAGCAGATGAAATGCCAGAAGACAGTTTGGTCCAGCCCACTAACTCATATGGTGTCATCTCACCTCCTACAATAAAGTTGAATCAGCCCAATCAGGATGACTAAAAAAAAAAAAAAACAGTTAGCTGTTATCAGCATACTTTTTATGCAAGGCCTTGATTTGTTAGTATGCAAGTCTTATTCAGTAACAGCATTTTGGTGAATAAACTGTTTGGGACAAAACTGCTATTTGCAAAGCATATTAAATATTAGCCCAAACACTTAACATGTACTTCCCCATGTGTGTCGTGACTAAATAGAAGCAATCACATATTCGTTCATCCTTTCAAGAGGAAGTGCTTGAGAAAGTTCAATAAGATGGTTACTAAAACCCGGAAATTGGGTGCATAACACAATCGTAATATTTTTGTTATGTGTATTAAAAATTTGAAATACATGAGCATACAAGATAAAAAGACATTAAATGCAAGAATAAAACAGAACAGAAAATACCCTTCATTGATCCCACAGTGGGAAATTTAGATGGCAGTAGGAAATACGCAATAGAACCATAACCCCCGGCTCACACCGACTCCGGTCTTACCGTTGCAGTGCGGCGCCGCAGTGATTCCAAGTCATTAAAAAGACGTAAACCTCTCTCAACGGCTGCTGAGCTGTCCGGCTGCGGTTACCGAGACACTCCGGCGCTGCAGAAAATTCCGCAAGAAAGCTATCCTTGCGGCGTACCGGAGCCCTCCGCAATAAGCTCTCGCAAATATCCTTATTTAGGCCGTGTTATCGCGTGAAGTTACGTGAACTCAAGTGAACTTCTGTTAAATCTCCGGACATGTTGCCGGAGCCGCAGAGCCGCACCGCATCGTAGTCAAAAGGGCGGCGTGAGAGGGGGTGTGCAGGAGATGCGGTCTTCGTCGGCTCGGTAACCGCACCGGAGCCAGTGTGAGCAAGGGAGCTCCTAAACTATACAAAAGAACAAAAATATTAGAGAGAGCACTGTGTAGTTACTAAATTTGGTATATTCATATCAAATAAAACATTTTAGAGATAGAAAGATAAACACATCCAGATAAAATGAAAAATAATAAAAAATACAAATGGCAGCTAGAATGTAAAAAAAACTTTTACCAAAAAGATTATTACAGTCCTTAGCTAAGAAAAATCCAAAAGTTTTTTTTTTCCAAAGAAGATTCCATTTTTTAAAAGCTAAACTTAATACCACAATGTCATTTCATCGCCATTTCAAGGCTTAAGCAAACATGGGGATGAGTGCAGCATTTCTTTGTTTCCTGTCGAAGTGTTTTATGCTACATTCACACAGTGGAAAACCTCATCAAAACACATTCATAGATTCAGTGTCTGAAGGTATTAATACCAGAACAGATTTATTCTGTAATTTTATTGACCGGCTTCTGTCTCAGTGCAAAGCTGAGCGTCAAAGCTGGAGGAAAAAGCAGGACACCAACTGATGGCAAGAGTCCTGCAGGCTCTTCTTCATTGGTAATCGGCGGCTTCTTCTCCGGTCGGCAGATTGGACATCAAAAACAGGAACCAAAAACTGAAAGTATGAATTATTCCTAGAGAAGTGAATGGTTAAAACTGGTTCTAATTGGTTCTCGAGTCCTGATGCCCAATTCTAAACATCTCCATAAATGTTTATCATTTCATTTTAGTGAGTTATACTTTTTCTGAAAATGAATTTAGGGAAGATTATTTAATTTTTCACCAATACTTCAGACCTGTCAACATTATTAAAATCATAAATGTTCATTTTAATTACCACGGCATTACTGGAAAAAATAAATAAATAAATAAAATCCCTCAACAAACCCAATAGATCCATGAAGCCATATCAGCTGAAAACAAGCATGAAAACAACCTAGAGTTGTTCAACAAGTTGTCAATATGACCTTCTTGTCATATTGATACAGTTATGTTGTGGAAAACTGACCAAGTATCAAATTCTCTTACTAAACAGTGCAGGGATATAATTAAAGAAATCACTAATATGTGTTAAAATCTATTTTTCATTTCTGGAAAACTGGACTTATTAGCTGGGAGCCCTAAATTACCAGATATAAAGGCTTGAAATATACCACTATGTAATTAGTCTTTCCAATATCTGATTTAGTCAGATGCAAAAGTACAAATGGCAGAGGCTGCAAAAGTTTGTGGGAAAAGGAATTTTTTAAAAGAAAAGAGAAAGGTTAGGGATGAATAATGAATGATCTTTTTTTATTTCACCTGAAGAAGTGGAGACCTCTTTCTGAACTTTAAATAAAATGTGCTGAGCCATTTGAAGGGTGGTCCATTTTAAGTAAAAGCTCCTGATGAATATTTAAAAGAGAAGCACATGTGTTGGCTTCTTCCGTTGTGACCTTTGTCTTTACAGCCAAGGCCAGCAAAGAGCATTTTACTATATCAATATTTTGGCTAATGATTTTACTCAAAAAGAATTCAAACCAATAAACACTTAATAAACTTTAAAAAACACAAAAGTTTGGCGTACACAAATGGCATTGCATATTAATGGTAATCTTAAATCCTACATGCTTGCAAAAGGATGTATTTTAAAGAGTAGACCGTGTAGGATTAGAAGATACATATCTCAACACTGTGACTGTTGCAGAATTCAAACAAAAAGCAAATGTGTAACATCCTACAGTGTAAGCTGATATCTATCAATAAAGTGTCTCTGTCACCTCACGGATGACAGCACTGGCCCGGAACAAATGCTGAATATATAAGCTGGCGCTTATATATTCAGCTTATTATATAGGGGCAGCTGGCTAGCTCAAGTGGTAAGTCACTCATCCTGCAAACAGGAAGCCTGGGTTTGCATCCCAGATGGAGGGAACAAGCTTCCAGTGTGGGTCCTTGGATAAGACCCTTTAGACTACTGCCTGCTTTGGGGAGTGGTGGCCTAGTGGTTAGGGCATAGCACTTGGAATCTTGAGATTCTGAGTAGGGATGCACGATATAATCGGCCCCCTATCGGTATCGGCCTGTATTGGCCTTAAAACTGAATATCGGACATCGGCCACCCCACCGATATTTAACCCGATATTTGATCAGCTTCTGAGTTTCTAAAGTCTAAAAAAAAAAAAAATACTACTTCTTCTTCTTCCTTTTTTACAGACTTAAAAACTTCTAAAGACGAGGGAAAAAATATTGATACATTCAAATATCACAATATCTTCATATGCTGATATATTGCCATTTAAAAACACCATATCAATCTCTTTTACTAATGAAATATTGCTATATGTCATCGTTATGCTACGAAATCCCCCGAAAATTCACGAAATTTTGCCATATTTTTATGCTGATATATTGACGCGGTATCGATCTATTTTACTAACAAAATCTCACAAGAATTTGCAAAATATCACAAGAGTTTGTAACAGAACGATGAAATTTCACAAGATTTTGAAAGTAAAATAGATCGATACCCCGTTTTTAAAAATCTATTTGATATCAGCATATGAAAATATATTTGAGTATATTATTTTTCAAAGTGTCAGAAATGGATAACAAAATTGCTATTTTCAATGACTACTTATTTTTGTCCAGCTTTAACATCAGAATCGATATCGGTTATCGGCTACATGAGTTTTTAAATATCGGCATATCGGATATCGGCCAAAATCCCAATATCGTGCATCCCCAATTCTGAGTTCGAGCCCCACTCCCATGGACTGTCACTCTGGGTCCCTGAGCAACACCCTTAACCCCACACTGCTCCCTGGGCGCCACACAATGGCAGCCCACTGCTCCCCAAGGGATTGCGTTAAATCCAGACAATTCATTGCTTTGTACTTGTACAGCTTAATGACAATAAAACACTAGAAAGTCTGTGCTCAGTTTTAGTTTTAAAGCTGCTATTAGTGGATGCCTAATGTTAATAATTTTTGGAATCATTGCAGTTTAAGAACATATGGCTGGCGAGAAAAAAAAGTAAGCATGCACAAAACAGATTGTGAAAGATGTGTTTTTTTTACCTAATGCGACTTGCAGGATGACTCAAGGTTTTTTGTGCTAGCAGACTAAAATGCAGCTGAA